ATGGTATAGACATTCTGGTTATATTAAAGGCATTTCGGGTAATAGTACAGACATTCGGGTAATTGTATAGACAAACTGATATTAGTATAGACACACGGTTTATAGTATAGACACACGGATAATAGTACAGAAATACGGGTAATAGTATAGACATACGTGTAACAGTAGAAACACTACGGGTAATAGTATAAATATATGAGAAGCAGTATATACATACGGGTAATAGTATAAATATATGGGAAGCATGTATATACATACGGGTAATAGTACACACATTCGGGTCATTGTATAGATATACGTGTAATAGTATTAACACACGGGTAACACTATATACATACGGATAATAGTTCAGACATACAATGTATGGGTAATAGTACAGACATACTAGATATAGTTGAGACATACAGGTTATAGTTTAGACATACGGCTATTTGTATGGACATACATGGAGAGTATATACATATGGGTAATAGTTAAGAAATACGGGGAACAGTATAGAGATACAGGAACAATAAAACAAACTGGTAATAGTATAGACACACCGGTTATAGTATAGACATACAGATTACAGTATATGCATACGGGTAAAAGAATAGACACACGGGTAATATTTTATATATAGTATAGACACACGTGTATTAATATAGACATACGGGCAATAGTATACGCATACGGGTAATGGTATGCATACGCATAACACAGTATATATATATACAGGTAACAGTATAATTATATGGGAAGCACTATAGACATACGGGTAATAGTTCAGACATTTGGGTAATTGTATAGACATACGGGTAATATTATACATATACATATAACTGTATAGACATACGGGTAATAGTACAAACATTCGGATACAAGATGATATCGCGACCAGTGGAACTCTTCAAATAGGAGGGGATTAAACTGTACTCGAAGGGGCAACGGACAACATGGCAGCGCAAAAACATTCAGATACGAATTTCCACGAACTTCCATGTAATGAATTGGGTAATATTTTAAAGTCAAAAGAGATTACCTACTCCAAATAAGAAAATTGGGGAGCTAGTACACCTATGATAGCAAGCAGACATGTTAAATTGGCCAGATATTGAAAAAGAGGACGAAGCTAAAGCGTCATAGCTGTGACGACCGACAGTGGCGTATCGTGTGTTACCTTTCATCATGATCATCATCTTCCATTAAGTGACAGATATCCTTGCTGGAGTGCAATTGTCACTGTGAGAGGTTCCTAGAGGTGGCAGTCAAAAACCTATTTTTTATGGTATTTTCGTATATGATAAAACTATTTACAAAAAGTATACATGAAATATAGAGGAAAAGGGTTGAAGCCTGCAATTGCTGATAAAAATCAATTCATATCAGGCGATTGGGCGATGTCTGTGGGTATAGAGTTCAAGGTGATAATAGTACGGGGGAAAATGAATATTTGTATTGATTTGATGCCATTGTGATCTGATGAAATTTGCGAGCCCTCCTTGTTCTCCTGTCCCCTTGAGTAAGGTACTCGGCTGTTGAAATAGCGATGTGCCCGTTTACGATCTTGTACATCAAGGTTAGCCTGGATTTTGCTATACGTTGTGCTAAAGATTCCCAATTCAGTGATTGGATCATGGTTGTCACACAGCCGGGATATCTAGACCTGTAGTCGTTGTGTACATATCGAGCAGCTCGACGTTAGCAGCATAGAATTATCTGCAGTGTACGGGTCCCAGCAAGTCGACGCATACTCAATAGTAGGTCTGACAAGGGTGGTGTAAGTCTGTTCCTTTACCTTTTTTGTGCAGGATGACATATTGCGTCGTAAAAAGCCTAGGGTCTTATTTACGGTAGAGTTGGTGTGACTATTCTATTCCAACTCAGGTCAGAGGTGATAGTGACTCCGAGATATCTACTGGCAGGAACGTTTTGAAGTGATTCATTGTGCAACGTAGAGTTGTTCTTAATGTGCACTTTGTTTTTTGTGACATTTATAATGCAGCATTTACTGGCATTGAAGTTCATTTTCCATGTGTCCTCCCATGCCTGTAGATTGTCAAGGTCGGTTTGTAGAGCGTTGCAGTCATCAGGTGTTTTGATGTCTGTGTAGAGGAGACAGTCATCTGCACATAGCTTGATCTTACATTTCATTGAATCTACGATGTCATTAATATAGACTAGAAATAACAGAGGACCAATCACCGTCCCATCGGGCACCCCAGATAGTACAGGGGCCCTCTCGGACTTAACACCATTTAGTAAAACAAGCTGATCACGAGATTGTAAAAATGATCTCATCCAGGAGAGGGTGTTGTTTCTTATACCATAAGAGTTTAGCTTGGTCACGAGTCGTTCAAAGGGGACTTTATCAAACGCTTTAAAAAAATCTAAAAGGGCTATGTCTGTTTAGGTTCTACTTTCTATATTTCAACAGAGGTCATCAACGGTAAGTATCAATTGGGATTCAGTGGAGTGTTTGGATCTAAAGCCGTGTTGGTATTTAGTCAGGATATCAAATTGGGCCAGGTGGGTCATGACGTTACTATGTATAATATGTTCAAGTAGTTTGCAGGTGATGCTTGTGAGCGATACTGGGCGGTAGTAGGAAGCAGTCTGTTTGTCTCCTTTTTTTAAAAACAGGGACAATATGGGCTTCGCGCCAGTCCTTCGGCACTTCACCGGAGTCTAGTGAAATTTGGAAAAGTTTGGTGAGGGGCGGGTTAATTTCAAGTGCAATGTCCTTCAGGACCCTTGCCGGTATGCTGTCTGGTCCAGTGGCTTTTTCGATATTAGTTTGCTTTAATAATTTAAGAATACCCTTTTCAGTAACTGTGATTTTTGGCATCGAGTCAAATTGTCTGTCAGGGAGATTTGGCATGTGCGAGGTGTTATCGCGGGTATAAACAGAATGAAATTGTTGGTTGAGAATATGGGCTTTTGTAGGGTCATCTGATTATGTGATACCATCTGATGGGTATCGTATTGGGGGGATGCTGGATGAGTCAACTTTCTTGCTCTTTATTAAGCTCCAGAACTTTTTTGGATTTTCTATGGCCTGTGGACTTATAATTTCCCTCATGTATTTGTTCTGGGATTTCCTGGTTTCTTTTTGCATGTGGGCTTTGATGGATCTGTATCTATCCCAGTCCCTAGTTGTCCTGGATTTTAATGCTTTATTGTAGGCCCTACGTTTTTGTCTAGAAAGTTTGTTGATGTTATTGTTGGCCAATGGGTTGGTAAATTTTGACCTAGTGAGCTTGCTGGGGACATGCTTGTTAATTGCTGCTAGGATGGTTTGTTTGAAAATGTTCAAGACTTGGTTAATGTCTAAGTTTTCTGTAATTATATTATTTAGGCCATTTTGTATGTCAATAAGCATTTGGTTGATATTTGCTTTGCTCCAGAGTAGAATTGTTCTTCTGGGCTGTTTCTTGGGTGGGTTTGAAACTTTATTGTCGATATCATGACGATTTCATGATCAGATACCCCTGGTATTGGCTTACATTTGTTCACTAGTGATGGCATGTTTGTTAGGAACAAGTCTAGGGTGTTGTTCAGTCGTGTTGGAAAAATGACTACTTGTTCTAGTGATAGGTCATTGAAGAGCGACAGAAACTACTCATTCAGGACCTTGGGGTAGTTGTTACTGTTGATGCGGCCTTCTGGCCATGAGATGAAACTAAGATTGAAATCTCCTTCCAACCAGAATTGGTAATTAGGATGGTTGTTAACTAGGGTGGAGATTTCATCTATCGAGTCCTGGATGTAATTTGGACTTGGCCTATTTGGTGGTCTATAGTAAGCAGCTATGATGATTGGTGTTTGCTTATTGAGTTGTATTTTGGCTGCGACTAGCTCTACTTTGTCGCTTTTATATGCAAGAGTAGCGTTCAGTTGCGTTTTTACAGCAACCATGACACCTCCACTTCGAGATTTTGTTCTGTCATTGCGGAACAGCTCATACTCGGAGGGAAAGACTCCAAGGTCCTCAATGTCTGGTTTGAGCCATGTTTCAGACCCAATGAATATATCAGGTTGGGATGACTCTATAAGAAGCATAGTATCGTGGCGTTTTGCCTTGACACTTTGAAAATTAACGACAAGCGTTCTTAGTGAATGGGTCGATTTAATTAGGTTTGGTTGTTTCTTTGTCTTGGATTTTGCAGGGATTGGAGAAGATGTTGCTCTTGGTGAGAGAGCTTGGATATTTTCAAAACTCACTTTGAGAGCGAATTGGAAGAACTGGATACAGGGCGATGAGCATCATTCTCGTTAATCGAGAAGTCCTGATCATGTGTTGTTGATGTTCTTAAACACGATGGCATTGTAGACGATGTTACAGAGTATAGACACATGGGTTATAGCATAGACACACGGTTAAAAGTATAGACACACGGGTACATATAATAGTATAGACATACATGTAATGGTATAGACTTAATGTTAACAGTATAGACTTAAGGGTAAAATTATAGACATACATGTAATAGGATATACATACGGGTAATGGTATAGACTTAATGTTAACAGTGTAGAGATACATGTAATAGTATAGACACACGGGTAATAGTATAGACTTACATAACACAGTATAGATATACGGGTAACATTATAAATATATGGGAAGCAGTATAGACATACGGGTAATAGTATAAACATACGGATAACAATATATACATACGGGTTATATTACAGATATACGGGTTTTGTATATACATACGGGTTATAGTTTAGACATACGGGTTTTAGTATATTCGCACAGTGAACGGTATAGATATACGGGAAGCCTTAAAGACATGCGGATACTAGTATAGACACACGGGTAATAGTCCAGACATACTGGGAACAGTATAAACATACGGGTAATAGTTTAGACACACGGGCAATAGTATAGAGATTCGGGTAATAATATAGACATACGGGTAATTGTATTGACATACGGGTAATCGTATTGACATACGGGTAAAAGTATAGACATACGGGGAACAGTTAAGACATAAAGGTAAAAGTAAAGATACCTGTCCCAAATGCGTTGAACCAAAGAATCACTGCTGTGATCATCATCTTCGACATTTGCCGAGACGCAAACATCTGAAACAAAAACCGTAAACATTATTAAAATATGTCCCTGATACATTGTTAGCGACCATTCAAACCATTTTTACCACCTATATGACCCATTTTACTTTGTCATTATGGCTATGTCATAAATATGGTATGGCATACGTGTAATAAAATCTAGAGGTTTTGCGATTGGTCAAAACCGTGCGAACATATTCCTACGCCTCTACAGGTACTACTTGTATCAAATAATTATTTTTATAAAAATTGTGAACTACTTTGCACTGCGCGGAACGACAACGCTATGATCGGAATACTTTGGTTTTGACCTATACAGAGTTATCTGATAACACACAATTGTGTTAGATTTGTTTTTTAAACAATTAACGTTATGTGATAAATAGAATCTTACATTCGTGTCCATTTCATTTTGAATTTATCAAAATTATTACAATAAAATCATTAAACTCGTTTGATAAATTTAGTATGACATGGACACTAATGCAAGATCCTTTATATTTTCCATGACCCATGATAAGGGAAAAGTTAGCATGAGGAGTAGAAATAACGTATATGAATTAGATCAACAAACTATGAACACCGATAAAGGTTCCATATGCCGGTAATATTCTCTAGATTTGTTAACGGTAAGTCGATGTCACTCCCGACTATTTACACAGCAAAATTATTTCGGAAAATGCAAATATGTATCAATCTATTTAAGAATTGTTTCGGCGACATATTAATAAACTATGTCGACGTCTCCTCTCCTCAGATGATGTCGACATATTTTCCATTCTTACTATTATGTTCGTATCTTACATGTAGCGTTTTAAGGAATTTTAAGTATCATTTCTTGTGCAACATCTCACTCCTGCCTTTATAGAGAACAGCCATTAACTTCTTTAGTGATTTCATGAAATCAGCTATAAACCGTCTGCTGTCTTAAGCACTACTATTACTTCGTTCGGGATACAATCTATGTTTATTAGATATAGACTATGAACCTTGACATAGTATCCAACACGTGATCGTACGTCAGTAGTAAGCCATTGTAAGCATATGCACATTTAAATTTTGTCTCCTATATCCTATTTAAGTGATTTTAAACATTTCAAATGAAGTGATATTGATTCACGCAAACAATGATATAATCTATTACATGTGCCACTTAGTACACATTTTAATTCACTGGCAGCTGTTATATTGCTTTTCTCGTCATGATCAGAATCTACAAATTAGTGTTCATTCATCATAGGTTACTAAGTTTAATAATTTGATTCATTTTCGATCAATGTTCATTTTTATTTTTCAAGTAACGAGGGTAATTACTGTTCAATATATAAATGATTACGTAAAATGATTACTTGGTCGTAGTATGCAGTAGAATTTGATTTGATTATTCATGCTATAACTGTATTATTTATGTTTCGATATGTGGTTATTATAGTCTGGTATGGCGTTATGCAATGTAGTCGATTTATGTAATTATATAACGGGTCTATTGAATGTCAAATCTATCGCATCTAAAGAGAAAAAACGGATTGTTTGTGTGCCGAGCGAATATTAAGGTAGAGTGTTCAGTATGTGTATCCGATGCTTGTCGTGGTCGTGTAAAATACAATAGGAACCAATCAAATTCAATGAAATCTTTACAACAATTGTAAAAGAATATCTCTGAATATTTAGAAAGACACAAAAGTGTGTTGAATTACAACGCTTTAGCTGTTACACAGAGCTATGCCCCTCATTCGGTATTTCGGCCTGACGTTGAGTGTTTGATGTGTTGCTAAAACGGTGAACATGGTAAATTGCTAGCCACTTCCTAACGACTCGGATAGGGGGAATTTCTCTTTAGCTCCTTTAGTAGAGTGTAAGACTAGTAAGCCAGAGGTACCGGGTTCGACTCCTGTCGGACTTTAAAGTTAGTTTTACAATACATGTATCTTTACGATGTAAATAGTAAATACAGTTCAAATATATCTTCTTCTTATTTTAGCTGTTGTACGTTTTGGTATCTCTGCACAGTGGATAACATCGTTTCTGGTGTTTAAAAAAAAGAATCGGTGAACTCACAAATCGAATTTATTTAAACTTTGATTGATAATACCCGAAATGGAAATGTATTTCCTTATGCAAGCAAACATTTTTTTTGCTACAATACACAATAAAGTCTTGCAAAGTTGAACGATTTAATGATTTTTTTCAGTCTACGCTGTACCCTGTACCGCTGCACCCCTTCACCCCGTACCCTGTACCCCGTAAACTGTGTTTTTACAGCACAATACATTCGATACGATATGGTTCTTGATACACATATCTGATTTAAGATTAAACAGTATATGTTTTCGGGATTTTATACATATGTCATAGCTTTACGATATAAATAGTAAATACTGTTCAAGTATATCTTTGTTCGAACTGTTTTACGTATTTCCTATCGCTGCAAATTAAAGCCACCTCCCTTATGTGGTCAGTCTGTGGTCCGCCTGATATAAAAAAAATAAATAAAATACAATGGACCTGAAATAAGCGGCCACACCTGTCTAATGTGGTTAGCGGTCACAAAAATCTGGCCCGAGACGTTTTCTCCACATGTATTCAGCGATCATTTTGTCCAGAAATTGACATCAAGAAGATCACAATATATTTACAAGAACACATCTCAATAGAGCAAAGCTAATTACAATGTGTAATTAAAAATTAAAAACCATAGGTAAGGTTTGGCACGTGGAATTGAAGAAGAAAATAACAAGAAGATGAAAGTTTTGTGTAATGATGAAACACTTGTTTATTTGCTGTATTTAAAATGCGATAATCAGTTAATTTTATCAAGTGTGTTTACACTGTTTACACGGAGTCACTTGCAGCGTGATATATTTGTTATGATTTGTACAGACGGTAGCCTAATTGGTCAGCGACGGATTTGATTGGTGGCTGTAAACCCATTCATAAAAATGTCAGCGTAATGAGTGTGTGTGCACGTATTTGTATGTGTGTAAATGGGGGAATGTTTACCTTGAAACAGCTTCAGGGCCCATGATGTGTTTTGTTTTGTTGACTCGCTTTGGTTGGCGTCTTGGTATATTTTTTGCTAGTTAGCATCAATTGTTTTAAATCTCTTTTTAGTATCTGTATCGGGCTCCTCTTGCACATGAACTGTCTCATCTTTGACTTCAGGGAAAGTAGTAGTAGTAGCCCCGATATTATCTGCTAATTGCAATATTTTTTCCAAATTGTCTGCCGTCATGGAAGTAATCACTTCCAATATCGGAGTTTCCGGAGGGGAGATATCCATGTCGGATTGTGTTATTTGTCTTTCCATGTGTTGAATGTCGCTCAGAGTCACTTCGGAGGCCGCTATCAGGTCAGTTATTGACGAATCACTCCAATTAACTTCTTCTTGGTCAGTATTAGGTGTTGCTGGTAGATGTATACCAAAAGTGCCATGATTGATAGGTTCATTTAACATTTCCTCGTCAGTGTATTCCAATATTGCCATCTTTTCTAAAAGCCGACGACAAACTCGGTCGCTGACGTCACGTGGTTGATTTACTTGTTTTCTATATTTATTTTTTTATTTGTTTTATTCCCATTGTTTCATACCATTTCATAACATTCTATTTCTATTTTCTACTGTTTTTGTATTTTTCCTTTTTATTTATAGTGTACTTTTTAAAATTCTCATTGAAACGCGAGTCATTTCGCCCATAAAAGTAGTTCTGGCAAACAAATTGTGTATCACTACACTGACCAAATCCCCGTTTTAGTTCATTGGGAAATATGTTACAATGGGACCAGTAGAGTTATCTAAGCACTATGCAGTGCAAATGTAAATATTGTCAAATATACTGCATCTACAGAGAAACGCTAAAATTAAATATTTGTGTGCTGAGCGAGTATCAAGGTATAGAGTTCGGTATAATTATCCGATGCCTTTCGTTTTCGATGTACCCTGCACCCTGCACCCCGTACCCTGTACCCCTTACCCTGTACCATGTACACCGTAATCTGTATTTTCACAGCACAATACATTCGATACGATATGTGTCTTGATACACATATCTGACTTTAAAGTTAGTTTCACAATACATGTAGCTTTACGATGTAAATTGTAAATACTGTTCAAATATATCTTTTCTCTTTTTAGCTGTTGTACGTTTTTGTATTACTGCACAGTGGATAACATCGTTTTTGGTGTTTAAAAAAAGAATCGGTGAACTTACAAATCGAATTTATTTAAACTTTGATTGATAATACCCGAAATGAAAGTGTATTCCCTTATACAAGCAAACATTTTTTTTTGCTACAAAACACAACAAAGTCTTGCGAAGCTGAACGGTTTAATGAATTGTTTCAGTCTACGCTGTACCCTGTACCCCTCACCCCGTACCCCGAACCCTCTACCCCTTCACCCCGTACCCTGTACCCCGTACCCCCGTACCCCGGTAAACTGTATTTTCACTGCACAATACATTCGATACGATATGCATCTTGATACACATATCTGATTTAAGATTAGTATATGTTTTCGGGATTTTATACATATGTCATAGCTTTACGATGTAAATAGTAAATACTGTTCAAGTATATCTTTGTTCGAACTGTTTTACGTATCACTGCAGAGTTGATAAAATCGTTTCGGACATATTTAAAAAGAATAGGTGAAGAATTTATTGAAGAATTGATGGATACTATATTTGTAAGTGATCCTATGCAGACAAATTAAAGTCACCTCCCTTATGTGGTCAGTCTGTCGTCCGCCCGATATAAAAACATTTTACAATGAACCTGAAATAAGCAGCCACACCTGTCACATGTATTCAGCGGTCATTTTGTCCAGAAATTGACACCAAGAAGATCACAATATATTAACAGGAACACATCTCAATAGAGCAAAGCTAATTACAATGTGTAAATAAAAATTGGAAACCATAGGTAAGGTTTGACACGTGGACTTGACAGCGATTTTCAGCTTACTAATTGGGGCAGGTCCTACCGACCCATCAACAATGTTTTACAAACAAAAC